CCTCCCTCCCTCCCCCATCACACCCCTCCTCGCAGCACCCTCAGCTCCCCCCCAGGACGTGCACCTGTTCAGCCTTAGCTCCACCAGCCTGAAGGTGAGTTGGGCGGCGCCGCCGGCCGGCCGGCGCCACGGCGTCATCGTCAGCTACACGGTCAGCTACCAAGCTCTGAGCGGCGAGGACACCGAGCGCCACGAAGTGAGCGGCATCGGCGCCGCCGCCTCGGTCTACGTCATCCAGGACCTGGAGCGCTGGACCGAGTATCAGGTGTGGGTGCGCGCTCACACCAAGGCGGGGCCGGGCCCCGAGAGCGCTCCGGTGAGGATGAAAACACAGCCGGATGGTACGTTGACGCCAGAGGTGGCCAAAGTACTCCCAAAAAAGCAGAACTAGTGATCCCGCTACTTTACTCAAGTCAAAGTTGAAAAGTACAGACCCTGAAATGTGTTGATGCACAAAAGTAAAAATGCATCTTCCTCTCAGTTTACGTACAAAGTTAAAAATTGTCAGAGAAATAAATACTTTAGTAAAGTACAGATGGACTTAAGTTTCGTCACAAAGTTGACGCAAATAACATGCAAGGCTTGTCTTCTTTTCTCCCTCCTCCTCCTTCTTCTTCTTTGTGTCTCATTTGTTGATCAATAACAAGCTAATGAGGCGCTCCTGCAGCCCCGAGGGGCGCCGTGTTGGTTTTTGTCTCTCCCTTTTTTCTCCTGGTTTCAACTTTTGAAAATGTATTGCAGGTTATGTCTCATCACCTCGGGACTTGCCTCTGTGTCACTTCCCTCTTTCTCCGTTTACACAGCATCCAGGTTCTAAAATGGAGCGGCGCGCTCCCTTGCTCTCTCTCTCTTCTTCTTCGTTTGTTTGCTACTCCTCAGAGAAATCAGCCTGTAATGAATCTTTTTTTTTTTTTTTTTGAAATTCAGCTCATTTTCACGCCGTCACCGCACCCACACGCTGGCCCACATTTTTGCCGGTCCAAAGTTGCTCTTGATCCACCGCCAACGTCGCTTTTTTTTTTAATAATCAGACGTTTCTCTCATCAAAGCACCGTGAAAATCCCCGACTCAGCGTTTTCCCCGACCTTCTTTTCGGTTCACAGTGCCGGGAGCTCCGCCGCGGAAGCTGGAGGCCGAGGCGGTCAACTCCACCGCCATCCGCGTGACCTGGAAGCCGCCGCTGCAGAGCAAGCAGCACGGCCAGATCCGAGGCTACCAGGTGGCCTACACGCTGGTGGAGAACGGCGAGCCGCGCGGGCAGCCCAACATCCTCGACGTGGTCTTGGCGGAGGAGCAGGTACCTTGTCTCCGCCACTGCCATGTCTACTTTTTCTTTTTTCATGTTTCATTCTCTCCCCTGCTTTCTCTCGCTGCTAGTTCACGCTTCAGTCCCCAGCCCATACATGAACACCATTGTCTTTCTGTCCCCTTTCCTCTTCAGTTTCTCTCCATATGACATTTGACTTGAAATTGCCTCTCCCGACTTTATAATACAAAAAAAGAACTGATCGTCTCCCTCCCTAAGGTTATACCGTAGCGGCACATCTTCTGTATGAGGGCTTTCAAATGCACTGCCTTGTGTTGCCACGATTCTACTCGTCTAACTTGACGAGTTTTTGTGCTGTGCACCTCAAAACACTCAGCTCTCCACTCATCTATTCCCATTGAAATTGATGGAAATGGTCTTAATTCATTCCAGCCTTTTTTCTACAAGATCATAGTTTATAAAAACAATGAGTAATGACATAACTAAGCAGAAAAAATGTAAACCATTCAACAGTTTTGACAACATTTTTTGCTTCAATTGAATGGACATTGTGCCTCTCCTTCTGGTGTGCACGCACTGACCCCCCCCCCCCCACGCCCCTCCTTCCCCAGGCACGATAAACAACACGGCGCTCCGCAGTGAACCGCTGTAATATTAGTCATTCTTTGCAGAGGGTCGTAAAAATACAGGTATATGCCTGTGAGAATTGCTGTTTGTTTTGTTAAAAAATATATTTTTACACACACTAGCTGCTTTGATAACATTGATGACATTTAAAAAAATAAAATAAAATAATGCAATCACCTAGGGACACGGAGGTTTTCGGAGCTCTTTCCTCTCTTTTCACATCTTACCCCAGCACGCCCTTTCCTTCTTCATCGTGTGATGACTCGCCAAAGAACCCAATAAAAAAGCAACTCCGTTTGTCCTGCTGCCTGCGAACATTAACGGGAACACGCGTTTACGCGCCGCCCTTCGCTGCTTCGGAGAAATCATCTCATTTTTCACACGCGCTCTCGCCGGTCCGCGTTTCGGGAGAGCGGCCGAGGGTACCGCTCGCCTTCCATGGCAAATAGACGCCGCCGCGCCCTTGAGCGAGGGCCGCTATTAACCCTCATTAACAATCGTAAATATCCCGCCGTCTTCACCCCGTCGCACGCTGCCAAGGTCAGCTGAGTAAGTAGGATCTTTTTTTTTTCACGATAGGACATCCTTTTGTCAAAGGCTGAATGAAAAGTGTTGGTGTGGACAGATGTAGGCATAAAATTGGCATCGTTAGTTGGAGGGTGGCTCGGGGTGAAGTGTGAAGGCTCCTGGCTGCATAAATAGCAGGCTTCGGGAACCCGATAGGAACTCTCTATTTTTTGCAGTCACAATGAAGGTTTGATCACTTTTTGGCCAAAGTTATACATAATGCCCAATCGAACACATATTCATTGGTCGTTTATATTAATGTTTGAATATTCTACTTGAATCTTGATGCCATACAGTCAGAGAAAGTGATCCAAAACCTGATTGCTATTTATATTCACGCAATCACTGTTATATTACGTATTCCGTGTTTAACACCGGTCAAAATATCACAATTTTTAATCAGAGATGCAAGTGAACACATTTAGATGATTTTTTTTTTTTTTTCATTGAGTCAGAATCTGTCCTCGTTTTCTTTTCTCGAGCACATCCATTTTTAATCATAATACAATAAAAATGATAGATTCTGTAAAATAGTAACATTTTAATATTTATGAATGAAGGGTTAGGTTCAGTAGCAGGTGGAATATTTTTCTGAAATGTCATAGCTAGAGATCACACCGCACGGTAAAATCCGCATTGCACAAGCGTGTATCGGTCAAATGAGGAAAAAAAACAAAAACGAAAAATGTCTCCGAAAAATGATGTGCCTGAGAGAAAAAAAAAAGTAAAGACATTTTGAAATCAGCGTCAAAACTACATTGATGGACATATAAAGCCATCTGTGAGCAAATGTTGCTCTTGACATTTGATCATGTCAGTTCTGGATCTTTTTTTTTTTTTTTAATAAGTGATGATGAACTCAAAATGTTCAAAGGCCCAAATTATTTGAAAACACTTCAAATATTTGGTGCTCACACATCGCCACCAAACGGGTATTACGCTCGTACCCCTATTGAATAACCAGCATGCTGTCTCACTTGGACCCCTTTTAGTGTGCGCCGCAGATAAGATGGCGGCTTCTTGCCTGCGCATGAACCTGCCGGCTTGAACTTGACGTGATCCCGAGCTTTCGTGCCTGACAGCTCTGGTTTGTGCCAGTGCCACGCAATTAACACATCTCGCAAATTGCCACTCGAGTCAGTCGTGAAGACGCTTGTCTCCCCCCACCCTCGCTCTCTCTCAAACCCGCCGTTGTTCCCGCCTCTGGCAATTCTCTATCTTGCCTGCTGTCTCCCTTTTTCCCTTTTGCGTCATTCCGAGAGAGAGCCTTTGCGTGCAAGTCGGTTCCCCTCGATTTAGTCATCTTGAGTGGGCCACCTGCACGGGCCTGCCCGGACATCAACGAAGGGAAGGACCACACAGTCAGCTAAAAACAAAAGTAATGTTCAGACAGCCATTTTCTCACCCAACCGTCTCGCCACACATCGTCTATCACCTGGCAAATCATCACTGTGTTGACACGTAACACAAGTAAGCTCCTGTAATGGGGTAGTATTGAAAAAAAAACACACTTTGCCTGTCAAAGAAGACCCATTTCGTTATTATTATTATTATATATGTAACAAGAATTAGGGGGCTTGTACCACGCAGACAGGGGGAGAGCATGCAAACTCCGCGTAGGTAGGCCGAGGGCTGGAATCGAACCCGACTGCTCTTTGAGGCGCTCGTGCTAACCACATTGACCTGTGAACAGTTTTGGTGTACCGCAGAAGCAAACTTAACATACAGGTTAAAAACATTCTTTGACTTTATCGAAGGTGTCACGCAAACCTGACTGCGATTGGATGGCGAATTCCGTCTGCATGGCTATCACCTCTCCCTCTGCTCTTATCTCTGGCTGCCGCTCACCTCCTCACGCTTAGCCGCAATGCCTCGTGTGTGTGTGTGCGTGCGTGTGGGCGCGACAAGCACCTCTTTCCATGCCCCAGCCCACACAGCACCCTCAATTTTCCGTGCTAATTTTAAACCAAGAGGCCAGAGCTAACAGCGCGATGCTATCGACCCCTTTTTTTGCGACCGTGACGGACGGGGACCGCTTTTGCTGCTTTGCACTTCGGGTAACCTTTAGGCAATTATTACCTGTGATAAAAGGCCCTTTTTTCCACTGTGCAGTACATACTCTGCTTTTCTCGCTCGCGCTCTTATACGAGCGAAAAAGGTCTGCTGGGGTTCCAAATGTGACGATGGCGACGCACAGCTAAAGATAAACGCGCGTGGGAATGTCACGTCTGCATGCTCCCCTGTTGCTCTGTGGAAACTGCAAATTTTTTTCAACAAAGAAAAAAAATTCAGTCGATAATAATTGATCAAAACAGACTAGAAACGTAATTAAATGAATTATTCCTTGTCCTGTTCCCTCTGGTGTCCCCGCCTTGTCCAATGGGGAGCGGTATAATATAGCCATGCGGACACAAATGGAAGAAGCGTAAACCACTTCTTCTACGACTACGACCGTAAGCGGCTTTGTAAGATTCTCTCATTTTCCGTAACAGATCAAGAAAACGTGCCTGTGAACATTATTGCATCTGTCGACATTTTCCTCCACCGTTTATTGAAAAACAATATCTTCTAAAACTGCTAATAGCAATGCTAACCATTGCTATTAGCAGTTTTAGACATAATATTACCATAATACCATAATATACAATAATATAACATCACGCGCTATCCTGCGCGTAATGTTTTGCATATTGTTTGTTAGCATTAAGCTAAGATGACACTGCTAAGGTAGCAGCGTCTTTTCGACAGCTTGAAGCTTCTTTGTTGATGAATTTGTTTACTCTTTGCCAAACCGCGAAAGAAAATTCACTAGAATGACGTCTCATACCTTTCGAAACTCATAAGCCGGGTCCCTCCAAGTATCTCAAGGACACCGGTGGAAAGCAAAAAGAAGGACAAACGCAATGTTAGGGGAAAGCTCATGAAGGGGGTCAACCCGGTCGCCAAACAAAATTAGAATGGGCACCATTGCACCTGATCGTACATTTATCGGTGACAGTCATCGGAAAATGGTGTGCTTTGTGGTTGAATGCGTCAGCCCGCCTGTTTCTCTACACTTACTGCCCATGTTTGCCCACATTCAGCAGCCGCTTTCTCGGCTCCATTTTGCCTGACCGTTCATGCGTTTGCGGGCTTCACGCGTGTTTGTGTTGGCTCGTGCATGTGTGCGCGCGCGCGTTTGTTTCGCCTCACTGCCGGAGATAGGACTTGAATAGAAATGGGGGAACAAAAAAGCACCTCAGCCCATTTCACTCCATCACCAATGGCAGCTCCTTCTCTTCCACATCACTCGTCACGCCACCGCCACCTCGGTCTCATTTTGATCGCCGCAAATCTCGGTCCGTGTCATCGCATTTGCATCCGTCGGCGACGATGAAACTTAGCGGCTAGCGGTGGCATTGGAAATAGAAATGTGTGCCAGGGTAAATTAGAATTCTCTGCCTGGAGTTGAGGCAAAAGGAGATTTGCGATGAGACTGAAAGCTGAAAGGAAACAAATGAAGCAGTCAGGTACAGCGCCTTCCGACTGTGAGTTGTTATAGATTTGTTTTGGCTGCTTAAAGCGGGTACAGTGAACCCCAGCCGTTGGCGGCGGGTTGCGACCAGGCCCTGCCACGAACAGCGAAAAAAT